TTCTGGAAAGTGTTTTTTTTTTCAACTTTTAAAAAAATTTTTTCCAAGCCCTAAATGAAGCTATGTTAATTTTTTTTTTTAATTTTAAAGAAACACCTTCTGGAAAGAGTCAGGATTTTTTAAGGTCAGCTAGAGGTTATTTTATAAAAAGGTTGCACCAAAAATTTATATACATAAGTTTCTGTTGTACGATTTTTTAATTTCAAAATTCTGTGACACTTTTAATTTTCGAATTTTTTAACATGTTTAAAAAGAGACCAGAACCATTTTTGTAACTATGGTAGTTTTTGAGATATTAAAAAAATTTATTTGCAAAGTCTGGGAAATTCTGAAATTTTGAAAAATTTTTTATTTTTTTTTGCTTTCATTTGGCAGAAGTTCGTTATATGAGAACAGAAAAGTTCTGACCGAAATTCATCCAAATCAAAAATGATCGATTCGAACTATTGACCGATTTGACATGGAATGACCCATATGTAAGCATATGCAAGTGGAAAAAAGTAACACCTAGCAGCTATGTATTCGCAACAACATTCGCAGCATATAAATAGAAAATGAGATGAAACTTTGCCTTTTATTAATTCACAACTAAATATCTAGTTACCACATTAAAATAGTTGTGCTGCTGTTGCGAAAGTAGTCAAGAACGCGTTAATTGTGAGTAAATTGTCTGAACTTGCTGTTTATTGTTAGCGTCCAACATTACACTCTCCCAGGCGTAGGTTGAATAAACTCGAAACTCTGACTCAGTTTGCTATTTTTGTCTGCATTTATGTGCATATATGTGTGTGCGTATATGTATGGTAGTATCGGGAGACTATCAGCAATAACCCACCCTGCAGTAAAATTCAGAGACAGTCTGGCAAAGCGCTAGTTCCGCAATGAATATTTCGGAACTATCACTGAACTATTTAGTACAAAACGGCTGAAGAGCAAGAAAGTTGAAACTTGCGGGGTAAGTGTACAAATTCTCACTTCCTCTCACATCCAAAACGGAACCGGCTAAAAACTAGTTGAAAATTAACGAACTGGGCGACAATTGCCACCGCCAATGATATCGCCATGTAAAACTGAACAGTTGAACGCATTGCCTGGGTATTGAGCTAGAATTAGTACTGTCGGCAAAAGCTCTAGTTCTACGCTAGTTCTGAGCTAGTCAAATTTTCTGCAGGGAACTGACAGAAAGCCTTAGACTTTTGCAATTCGCCTTTGTTCCATTCAGTTCCATTGGCTATTCAATTTAAAATGTAAATTCACTGCAATACAAAGACTCATGTAGCAAAGTTAGTCAGCGGCAAAAAATATTAGTTCGCGTAGCGTTTGCAGAGGTGCTGCAATTAGCATTCGACTCCGCACCAAAACAACTGCAAAAAATTAGAGACGGTGTTGTTGCACTTTGTGTGGAGTTGCGTTGAGAAGCGTTGTTGGAATTGAAGTGTAGCATCTCATACATATGTATGTATGTACATATATATATGAATACATATGTACAAATAAACTAGAGTACACGTACTCTATAGCTTACTGATGTAGAAGAAGAATGTGAAAGGTCATTATGAGGTGTGATTTTGCGCTTTTACGTACTCTTCTCTACGCTTACGGTTATTTTCTTCATCGCCTGCCTGCCTTTGCCGTTATTGTTGTTTACATTTTCTCTTGAGTGTCATGCACAACTTCAATTTCCAAACGAATGAAGTGCGCTTATGGACCACACAATACCACAGCAGCGACAAATGACAAATATTTAGCTTAATGTAACCCAAAAAAAAAAAAACAAAAAACAAAAAAGAAAAAAACGCTTGTCAAGCTTCAAGTGGCTCTAAGCTGCTGTGTAAGTGAGTTTTTTTTTGTGTGTCTTTCCCAATTCTAAACGCGCGAAGGCAAACCTGCTGCACAACAGCAAAAGCAACCGTCACCGTCACCGCTATAGCCATTGCCTTCGCTATCGTCAGCCACACAGCAATAAACCGAAAATAAGAAATAATTTAAAAAAATTAGTGTTTACCACATGTGGGCGTTCAGGTGGGTAGACAGTGAGCTCGTAAAACGATGGCTGCTATTACTTTTTGAGCAAATACATACAATGCGCTTGACAAGGCAACAGCAACAGCAACAAAAGACTTAAGATACGAACTTAGTCGTGAGCAAATGAGAAGTATAGTCGAATGAATGAAAAAAATAATGATTTTCAGTAGCTCATCAAAAAAACTTGAAACCCTAAAAGGCCCAGCGAAAATGAAAGCCAAAGAAGATAGGTTACAATCTTGGTACTCTTTGTGTGTGTGTGTGTAAGTTTGTGCATAGATATGTTTATATCCAACAACTACTTACATATGTATGTCAATGAATCTTCTATTCTAATAACTTAAGCATTAAAGTTTTAAAGCGAAAGAAGAAAGAAATTCTTTGAAGCTTTGAAGCGATTATTCAAAAGATTATTTATAAATAGTCATAAAATTTCATTCAAATGAAAATTTTTAAACAAATTGAAAACATTTCTGTTTGAAGTGCTACATAGTTAAAAAAAAATTAAGTGATTATTCATTATTGTATTAACTATGATTAAATTTATCTTGCTTTTCTGTAAAAAATAGCAATTGTTAAGTTTGTATACCATTCCTTAGAACGATACCGATAATTCTAAAATGCTGTATATGTGTACTGATATGTGTGGAAACAAAATTGCTTCAGATACTCGGGTTTGATACTAACGACACTGATTTTGGTGAGGCAAATGTTAAAGTTTTTTTTGATAGACTTTTTTGAGCTGATTACGAATTCGTAAGTATAAAGTTTCCATCAGCTCGACATTTTGAGTAAACGAAGCCAACGTGTTAAAAAAAATCGCGGTTTTTTGCAACATTTGAAAAGCGCTAGCAAAGAGACAAAAGGTGATAGAACCTTCAACTTGGGCTTTAATTAAAGCTAGAATTCTCGACTACGATCTCTCAAATACCAACCCTTCATCCAGATCCTGATCCAATGGTCAATTATAGTGGTTTGTTGAACAAAAAAAAAAAAAAAAAAAAAACTGGAATACATATTGTGATATTGAAAAAAAATTAAATTATGCTAAAATAAGTTTTTGCTGTTCAATAAATGACTATAAGTGACCTTAGGGTCAAGGTATTTTTAGGAATAGAAGTCAAGAGTTCTAACATTACTTTTAGCTTAAGTGGAGGGCCCCATTTGACCTCGTTTTTTCTCAAAATTTGGAACTGATGAAAACTTTATACTTACGGATTCGTAATCAGCATAAAACATTCTATCAAAAATAGCTTTAATATTTGCCGCACCAATTTTTTTTTTTTCATTTTTGTTGGCCTGTGTTATTTGCCTTTTTCCAAAACCGGGTTTCGAGTTAATTGCAAAAAAGCGATTTGAAAAAAACGGTTCCCCATTTTGAAATTAAGAAAAAACCGGATAAATCGGTTTTATTTTACATAGTTTTCGTACAATGCAAATGCTTATGATGTTATGAAGTCATGTCTAAAATTACAATAAAACTATCCGCAGTAAACATAGCTTTTATTTAGAAATTAAAATTTTTTTAGGTGAAAAGTAAAAGAAATAAAAATCAGCGAAAAATTCGCGTTTGGTTTTATTTTAACTTTTTTTTAATACCTTATTGTATTTTTGTTCTGTTTTTTTCGGATTTGAGTAGTGCTTTTGCCACCGTAGTCGAGTGCTTAAATGTGCCTTCTACAACTTGGTAGATCCATGGTTTAATTTCTCGTCCAAACAACAGACAAGGAAAAACCTTCGAGTGTATTTCTGTCCATATACACTTGAGATATGGAAAGAACACGAAAGAACAACTCACAATGCTTTTCAGTGGCGAAATATGAGGCGAATTTGTTGAACAAGAACCAGAGCCAATGTATAGGGACAAAGCTCACATCCCTCCACTCGGCCAAGACGAAGTGAGAGCAGCATAAGCAGAACTCGGTCCGTGGTATGAATGCGCGTAGATTAGCAGCATTTTCCACCATAGAAAAATAAACTAAAGCGGTTGATATATCGGTGAACGAGGACAAGACAAAGAACCTCCTGGCAACACATAAAACGTCTGTGCGTATTTGGACGCACCTCATTGTTGGCAGTTATATCTTTTAAGTAGTAAAGGACTTTGTCTACCTAGGATCCAGCATAAATACCACCAAAAATGTCAGCCTACATATCGAGCGAGGAATTGATCTTGTCAACAGTTATCACTTTAGGTTCGGTAGGCAATTTTCCGACGAAGAAAAATTACGCTCTACAATTCTTCATCATGGCGCAGACACATGAATGATGATAAGAAGGCTTTGAGGTTTCTGAGGAGAAATATTCTACGCAAGATCTTTGGCCCCATGCAGAAGTAAATGTAAGGCCAAACTGTATACATTTTTTTAACGACATGGACATGCTCAGTTAAGCGCAAAAAAGTGAAGTTTTTTTATCTTGGCCCAAAACCAATGAACTGTTGTAGAACCAAATAAGAAGAAGAATAACGTTACGACCTATACGGGTAACGCACAGTGTGGCGACAAGAAACTGGCTGGACTCGAAACTAAAAAAAAAATTTTCCTAGGACCGGGGCTGAAATACCCCGTTGACCCAAAAAGTGTTAATTTATATTGAAAAAAAGTATTTTTATGATTTGTGGCATATAAAATACTATAGCTATAAGGCCGAATGAATATTTCCTAGAAAGAGAATTTAAAGAATATTTTTATTACATATTCTAAAATATCTTATGCCTTAAAGAAACAAATTTTTTTCTGGGCTTCAAATTAAAAAAGGGGAATAACTTTTCAAAACTTTTTGCTTCATTAACACTTTAAACAACTTTGAGCGCTTTGAGCGACCTCTAAATATTTTTTGATTTCAAAATAAAAAAAATAGGGGTATACCTTTTTTTCGATATAGAACAATCCTAGGGGGTGAGCGCATTACAATTCCGACTTTACTGTTTTTGGACCAATTTATTGGAAAAAATTTATTCTGTGTCTGCTTACCTCAAATAGTACAACGCTCGTATATCAGCTGCCATGACTGCTGCTGCGTTTGCTGTTGCTGCTTTTTCAGAACGATGAGTAGACTTTGAGCAAATTACAAAGGTAATAGAACTTGGCTAGGCAACACTTCTAGCCAGCCGTGCGTTTATTATATCTTAGGCAGTTAATGCGCACTACAAACTATACACTTTTATGTGAAAGATAAACAGCAAGTTCGTAAAGTAGTATTGAGATTTTTTATTTATTTATTTTTTTGGTGTGACATAAAGTGGAAAGCAACGCAAATGCAATAAATGCTTACAAATATTTTATTTAGTTAGGCAGGCGGGCCTACATACATGAATGCACGTATGTACTGTGTGTGCGTGTTATTTTTCCACTTCGCGCGATTTGCTGTACACTTTGTGATAAAAATCTTATCGCTTATACTCTACACAGAACACTTCCTTATTTGCACAATACCGCTCATATATGGTATGTATGACAGAGGTTGTGGCTGAATGCACTTCTTGTTTTTTATTTGGTCCCGATTTTTTGTCACTTTATGCGGACACAATGTGGAAGGCAAGCATTTGTAATTGCCTGATTTTAAGTAAGTAGTTACCTGCTATTGAATTTATGAATGAATGAATGCGTGTGTCACAGTGCTGTCGGTTGAGGGCAGAGCAAGCAGAAAATGTCTGTCTTTTGATTTGTGTGCGTGCGTGTGCGTGTTGTATGTGTACCTTTGCGCGTTGTTTGTTTTAAATATCACTCAGTTCGCAGGTATTGTTGCTGATTCATTCATAAAAATGCACGAATGAACAATGAGCCGGAAACGGATGCTCGACTACAATGCAACTGAACAAATATTATGTTTGTTGTTTTTTTTTTGGTTCATTCTATCCTGTTGCGCTGTCGGCGGCCAAATGCAACGTTTACCTGTTTGGATCCTTCTTGATGGCTTTTTGATTTTTTGTATAATTTTTTTTTTGCAGTTGAAGAAGATTATTTCTACGCAAGTAAATGGACTTAGTTAACTACATAGTTACACCAAGTCAGTTCAGCCACCACTTAGTTTCGGTTTTAATTTGAATAAGCTTGAATTTACAAACTATTGGCGCAATGAGTCTCTTGGAATTATTTGTTTAACATAAATATTTGCTTTTGACTTAATATATTTCGGCATTTAAAGTTTAAGAAAAATTATTTCCATGCACCTCCATACAAAAGACTTTAGACACAAACTCGTTATTTTTTTCGCAACAATTATTTATTTATTTCAATTCTATAATACTTAATGCATTTCACAACACAAAATAAACCGACACACTTCTGCTCATCACACACTTTTACCAAACTATCATCGATTCGTTTTTCCGTTCTCCGTTGACTCGTCAGCGCGCAAACCAAAACTCAACTGAGCACGCCAGTAGGCAACATGTGGGCTTAGACTGTCAGCCTTCAGTAGATTGCACTGCATCGCCTACATGCATGCATATACACATACACGATACCTGGCTGCTGAGTTGTGTGCCGACAGCTGTTGTACTACAATCCAACTCTGGCTTGGTTGACTGATTATACGATCACCTTTTTATGAAGCACCGTAGTTGCTGTTGTTGTAGTTGTTGTTGTTTTTGGTGGTGGTAGCAAACCTACGCGCGCGCGTCTCAATGAATTCATTCACAAAAACTGACGCATTCAAGCCGGCAAGAGTTACGACGAAGAGACTCTCAGACTCTCAATATGTTTGAACGTTTGCCCGGCTGCATTGGCTCTCAGCTGGTACAATAAATTCAGACTCTGTGTAGGCAGTTGGTTTGTTGTTTTTTAAGTAAATAAATGTGTTGTAGTCGGAAAATAAGTATTTCTGTAGCAACTAGATATAAATGAGCTATACATAGACAAACATACAAATAAAGTTCGCTGTACACCCCCGGGTCTAAAAAAATTGTTCAGCGGGATTTCGAAAAAAAAACCTTCTTGCCGGCTTTTCTGGATTTTTGGTGAGCTTTAGTACTAGAACGGAGTATTTGAGCTCAATGAACTGAGGAACAAAAAAAATGGTCTCCTCGGGACAAGATCATATTTTAAGATCCGACTGTAAATGCTGAAGAAATGACGAATAAATTATCAATAAAAAATATTTTCAAAACAAGCTTTCTAAATATGAACCAAATATGATTATAAAGAGGGTTTTTCAAAAATCTCAACTTCTGCGCCATCTATCGGGAAAACTTTTTGTGGAGTTATTCTTTTTCATATACAGTCAGCGTCAAAAATATGAATACCCTGACGTTTTGACGATTTTATTTACTTATATTTTCGATACCAAAATTTTCTAATTTTTTGAAAAAATGTATTTCATCAGCAAAACCCAGCAGAATAAATTTGTTCAGTTTCATATAGAACTTGGGAAAATTCATAAAATGCCAACAAATTTTCATCAACATTTTCAGCTTTTCAATTCAATTTCCTAGAAGTTTCTCTCTAAAAATTACCGTTGATTTTTGAGAATTTGTTTTATCAAGGGTGTGGCAAATTTTCTTCCATATAACGCATGAACAAAATCAATTCTTATATGGAAGAAAATGCGCAACACCCTCAACAAAAAAAAAAAAAATCTCAAAAATTAACGGTAATTTTTAGAGACTTGAAACTTAAACCTTCTTTTTCTAAAATTTTATTTTGCTGCATTTTTTTGGTATGTCTTGAATTTTCCCCGAGCTCTGCAGTATATCGATTACTGAGCGAAAGATCGGCCTATCTCGGCAACCAGTTCGAAAATGCCCATTTTCAGAAAATTTTTCAACAACGCCCTATTTTAGAATTCGCTGAAGAACGCCCTATGTTAGAATTTGTTTGAAAAATGCCATATAACAGCACATTTTCAATGCACTTTCATTTTGAACCGAGTACTGAGATAGGGCGTTCTTAGACCAAATTCTGAGAAAAGATGTTTTTCAATAAAATACTGAAATAGGGAGTTCTTCAATCAAATTCTGAAGTAGGACGTTCTTGAAAAGTTTTCTGAGATAGGGTGTTTTCGAACTGGCTGCCGAGATAGGTCGATCTTCCACACAGCCATCGATATGAAATTAAGAAAACTGATTCTGCTGGTTTTTGCTGTTGAATGAACTATATTTTTTATAAAAAAAGAAAACATAGGTATGGAAAATATATTGTCAGGGTATTCATATTTTCGACGCTGACTGTAAGTACTATATAGATATTATGAATAATCAGACCATAAATGCAAAATTTGTTTGTAGTTATTTCGTTCCATATAGGAAATATACCTTCCAAATGGGAGGAACCAAATCGGACTATAAATGTGGGTTATGGAAATATGTATTTCGACTCTTGCGCCACCTATCTGATTAATTTATCTTTCATATAACATTGTCATATGGTTCTGAGCTAAGTGTCAAGTCCCTAGCTCATCGTTAAGTTGGTAAAAATTTGATTTCAAAATTTGACCCAAACAAACATAGTTAAGCAAAAACTTGGAAAAAAAATTAAAATGCGAGCTTTACGTTCGGAAACGAAAAAAGATTGGAAATTTGCGATGCAAAAATACTTTAATCTCAGTCTATGCGGCGAACTTTTTCGCGTGGAAAGCGTTAATGTGTTGTTAATTCTCGCCATTACTTATATCCAATTCACAGCTCATCCACTAAGGTGTTAATTAAAAGCTAAATGTTTGCCGATAAGCAAACTAGTTTAAGAATTTCGGTTTATTATTCGCATCGATTTCTTGACGTTTCGCACATTTTTCAAGTTAAATGAGCGATTTTTAAAGTGCTGCGTCACGTACCAATGTATGCACGTACATACATATATGCTTGTACAGATGTGCATGTTGAAGTGCATGGCCGCTTATGCATATCTAACCCACAAATTTTTGCGGTTGATGCGGCTTTACTTGCCACCAACCATGCCAAGGCAGTGTCGGCGACTTTACTTAGTATACATGTATGTTGTGTACAGTATCGTGGAAATGGATTGCAACTTTCGTTCCGGTTTGAAAACTTTTTGGAGTCTTCATCTTCATCTTCATCTTCATCTTCATCTTCATCGTCAACTTCATCTTCATCTCTATCTTTACTATATCTTTGTCCTTCCATTGTATTTATGGGCACTATTTCTTCCGCTGTTCAAACAGGGGTAACGAGTCGAAGGATCTTTTCACCGGAGCCTAGTCATCCAACGTACTAAATGTCCAAGCTCATGGTAACACTTGTTTGCTAGTTACCCTCGCTTTATCTAAAGGCAGACGCGTTGTTGGTGTTGCGCTCTATCCCATGTTGACAACGTCCTCCGCCACAAAGCTATAACTGCCAACAGTGACGTGTGTCACAAACCGCGAGGAGTTTTTACGTATTACCAGGAGGTATGTACTATGTTTTGTCCTCATTCACCGCTACACCATGCTCCTTTGCTTCTAAACTGGGAAATGCTAGTCTCATATAAGTGGGTTTCAGGTCAACGATGTCAATATCATCCAGATTAGTTACTGACTAGTTATGACGGTTTGCAGCATCAGATTGAAAAAGTCGCACGGGAGTGAATCGCCTTGTCTAAAACCTTGTTTGGTATCAACCAGCGCTGAGAGGTCCTTCCCAATTCGGTGGAGCAGAAGATTGTGCTCACCATCACTGTACATAGCTGTGTTAGTTTTGCGGAGATCCCAAATTTAGACATGAGATCCTACAGACAGCTGCTCTTCGTGCTATTAGAAGTGGTTTAAAATCGACAAAAAGAAAATGTTGTGTGCCAATTCGCATATCTAGTGGCCTATCCAGGATTCCACTTGCTGTGAAAATCTGGTCAAAAACCTGCTGCCTTACGGATAAGGTTCAATCAGTCGGTTTGTGAAGGGCTGCACTCTTTCACAAAGTATCGTCGATAAAAACAATTTACGAGCCACATTCCTGTCTAACAGCACATTTTCCTTTTAAACAGACGTCTCTCCACCCTCTTCATCGTCATTCTCCTCGGTCGGGGTGTACGCACAAATGAGGCTTAAATTGTTGAATTTAGCTTTGATACGGATCATGACAGTTTGTTCAATGATCGGAGTGAACCTGAAAACGAGAAGTCGTAGTCCTGTACTGCGGTGATGTCGGTCGTGTATTTTCGGAGGCTAGAGGCACCTTCACTATAGAGCGTGCGGACATTCCAAGTACCTATCTGTAAATCATAGTCCTTATTTCGTGATCGAGCGGATGGATGGGTTTTTCAACCGGATGCAGCTGTAATTTCTTACCCATACCCCAATGCAGAGCTTCTGCAGACAGAATGAGTTACGTTCCCACGCTAGTCGGGGCTACGTAACCGGAACGACCCCGATTGATATCTCGCTCAGGATTGCCACCCCAGCATCATTCCCCAAAAACTCTTTGGGGAATTTATTTGTTGTTACAACAGGCTGGGTGAGTTAATACTACAGAGCACTTACTTCTTTAAAGTAACGTGCTAAGCAGAAAATGTGAAACCCGTTGCTTAAAACGAAACCGAACCACATACACTCGTTTCTACATGTGGGTCACCTATATCTCCTAGCTCAAGACGACAAGAAACACAACCCTATGAGGGTCCTAACGTAGTTTGGGAGATAAAAAATACAAAACTCCGCATAATAAATGCAATGAAAAAACTCAAAAGTTATAAGGATTTTGTGCAACATCATCGACCCGCAGCTGTAACCGGCCAAAAACTATTGGTGGAAAGCATACAGGAAATGCTTCATCTGACAATAATTTTTTCTTTATGACTTATAGGGCGTTCAATCACATCACGTTGCATTTTTATTGCTCACTACTGTGCATTGTTAGATTCGTAGTTAAAAGAAACCGCCTTCAGTAGCCCATCTCACGTAAATAAATATGAAGTACATGGACATATGTATATATCATTAGGATGTATATGTATGCACAAGTGCGCCAGTAGCAGTCTAGTCGTTGCCGCAAGCCCGACTAAGCGCACACGTTTGTTGACAATAGAATTAAGTGATGAACTCAACTCAAACAAAAGTAAACTTTCGTAACGCCTATAAAAAGCGGTAAACATGATAGGTACAAGTTCTAAACAAAACACAAGCGCTGTTGCCTTTATGTATGTATGTATATATCTGTGTTCATATGGAATAGTAGCTTATGTCGGGAAGCTGGCTTTAGTATAATGTGGCATTTTTTGATGAGACTTATTAAGAATATTGACTTACTAGTACTGGAACTATTTCTTGCACATTTATTTGCCAAAAGCTCTTCAATCGCAATCGTATGCTGCGATTGCCGCATTATACTAAAGCCAGCCTTTCGACATAAGCCACTATGCCATACGAATACATAATATATACATATATATCATGTGCCTATGTGTATAAAGGAATACCTTCACTTTACTATAAGTATACTGTGTTAAGTGAGAATACCGGCAAGGTGACCATATCGGTTGGCCATCTTCAACACATCTTTGCTGCCTGAAGTTCAAACAAACCACTGTAGTTAGATGCCTAAATACTTACTAGTAATTGAGAATTGTAGGATGCAAAAGTAGCACTTGCGAGCAACTACTCCAACAATCACAGCTATTTAGTATCTGCGCTCTTTAGAATATTCATTTCGTGTTTCGATGCCAAGGCAATTGACGAAGAAGACATCTACGCTATGCTACGCGGCGCATTTGAAGGCAAACTTAATTGTAGTATAATAAAAAATAGTCACTTATTATTATGTCTCTTTTTTTGCGGTAAATTATTTTCTTATTCTCTCATCATGTGTGCTACAATCACTCCATATATGACGCCTTTGACCGACAAAACGTTCCATATTTGGGCACAGCGCGGGCAAGAATGTGTGTTAGGCTCTTATAACCCATTTCTTCGACAGCGATTCAACGTCACACACCAAGAAGAGCTTCTCCAGCTTGAATGTTATTAAAAAGAAAGCAAATAAAGAAGAAGGTTTTGCTTGCACTTAATTTAGCTGTGGAAGATTATCAACATACAGGCCAAATACTCAATGCCATACAAGTATGGAGGAGCCGCAAATGGGCAGAAGAGTCAACACAAGTTTATTTGGCTTTCCCCATTTTGAACTCTGTATTGAATTTATCCAAAGCTCCTCACCATTTTAAGCGTACGACAAGATATAGTATATTTATACATACATATATAAATTAACGTATACATATTCTAATGGGTAGATAAGTATGTTAAAACTATTAAAATGTATATAAGCACAACTCTTTGTCCCATCAAATTTTTAGCGGCCAAATTTTAATTAACACTTGGAAGTACTCACAGTACAAAATAAAATGAAAACTTGATGGGAGCTTATGAAATTTCACCATACTTTAAATTGTGTTTGCAGTTGTCCAAGGTTAAAATGCAATTTGTTTAGCCGCTTGTGTTAGTACCCGATGTACCAGGTTCGATTGCCTCTGGTTTGATCGGCTCGGCTGGTATCAGCGACGGCGGAATGTTTAGTGTCTATGGATTAATAAGAAAGAAGTATTAAAAAATTTGTTTAATTCAACATATCATTCCCTACCTTTCCAGGGCATGCTGCCTCATACTGATGTTTTAAGCTCTCCATTTCATACACGCACGTGGACAAAGCAGTACGCAATTCGCACAGCAGAACCATATCTGAGCGTAATTCATTGAATGTATTGCATATTTCTTCGGTGGGTGGTGGTGAGGGATCTAAAAAAATGTTAATCATTTTAATAGAAGTTACTAGCAATTAGCTAACAAGTTCTCTTCACAAAAACAATCAACACTTACCAACTTTAAATTCTTGTATGGCTTGTTCCAAAGCTTTTACTTTGCGCTGTCCAATATTTGCAGGAAGCTTCATTTTTTGTGAGCGCAAGGAAACGCCGGATCCACGAAGATCGGAGAATTTTATGCCACTGCCACCGATTTCAATAGCGTTTACAACAGAGTCAACTTTTGAGGGACGTGGCTGATGATGCAATTTTTTCTTGACCAATTTCTTTTCGTATTTACGTGTGCTCTGCACGTTAGTAGTTGTATCGCTTTGCTGAAATGAATAATTTGTTTTTTTTTGTCTTTTATCCACCATTTATAAACTAGTGTGGTTTTTTCCACAATCATTTTTTTTATAGGGTATACAGGAAAAACGGAAAAGTTACGTACTTGATCCGCCTGTGATATGAGCTTTTGAAGATCCTGTGTCTTACGTTCACGCTCCTTCTTGCGTGCTTCAATCTTCTTGAGTTCGTTCAACAGCATTTGCTCTTCTTCGACTTGTTGTGTGGTACGTTCAAATAATTTCTTAAGCTGCTCCTTACGCTTGCGTTCGTGTTCTGCATCAAAGGCATATGATTTCTTATCACTATTTTGTCCTTTAACTTTTGCTAGCAGCCCAAGTACTTCATAATAGCGTTCTTTCAAATCCTCTACAGACTTGACGCCATGTTGTGCACGATCCCAACGATCTGCCATAACGATAAATCGCAGATCAAATCTGTAATGGAGATGGAGATGTAATGGAAAATATTTCGATAATGTAAACAAAACACGAAACTACAATTCTTACCGCTTTGCCAAGTCGAATAGGTGATCTGTTTGTGCCTTGTTCCACTTTTGCACATTTGTGCGCAAATGCGTGTTGTACTCAGTCATGGTGTAGCTGGGTACTTGTAGCTGCTTATTGAACTTAGCAAATGGATATTCTTTTTGATCATCAGTGGTACGGCGCCAATGGTGAAATACTGCACCATCTGTGCGCGCTGGATTATTGAAAGGTGCCCATTCCCACTTGCGCACTTTTTTCATACCCAAACGTGCTTTCGCTTGTTTATAACCTGAACCAATGCCAAGAGCTGCAAATACATTATATTAAATACATTTTGTATAGCAGTGGAAAACCCAATCAGCACATTTACCTGTGTCAGTTGGTAGCAGCGGTGGAGCATCCTTGTTGTCGTTATAGAGCAAAGCGAAAACTTCGCGGTGCATACCCTCTGGGCGTTTGGAAACACCTTTGGCCCTAAAATGTTCAACGTATATTCAGTAAAAGTTAATAGCAGAATATATAGAAAATCTAAAACACACTTTTCAAAGTTTCTTCTCTTTTGTACCAGGAACGATTCTCGCGTTACTTCAGGCGTGTTCGCCCGCTCCATATCCAGGATATCACGCACGTCCGCCATATTTTTTTTTTAATTCCTTCTGTAGCCCACTGAACGTGAAAGATATTACATGAAAATACTTCAATTTTCAATAAAGTAGAAATCAAAAAACCTCCATTGAATTTGCACACAGAAAAATGTTTACCTCATGAAAATGACAGATGCACAATTTCAGTGTTACCGGACATTTTGTTATCAGAAAGTGACAACCAAATCGGCCCCTTGGAAAAGCGGCACCACTGCACTACACGTGTTTGAAAAGCCGCATTTTCCCTTCGGCTTTGCTTCGATTAGTTTGCATTTTGGTGTGTGCTTCATTTTGTGATATTTTACGTGAAATTAGTGGATCAATTTACGATCAAACTCTGCAAGAGTGATCTAGATAACAAATCCAACAAAAATTCCAGTGAATTTCTTGAAGTTCACATCGTTTTTCATGGAATTGAGTGTAAACAAAATACGGCGCTCCGTCGTGCAGTTGCGCGAGCATCTGCGGTCGGCGTCGCAAACAGCTGATGAAGACAGGGTGTTGCTAAAGTTCCTAAAGTCAAAGGTAAACAAACAAAAAACAGCTTTGTTTACAAACATTTTAATGTTTTTTTTTTAACACATTTCCAAAAGGACCCCAATGAAAAAGAGGTTGAAGCACTTTTCACCTATTTGAGTGACCATATCATAGAAGAAAGATGGACCACGGCCATAGCTACTTCTTTTGAATATGTCTTGTTGCTATTAATTACACGCAGTATTCCATACGATGAGCATGTTGACCAAAGTGACTTTGAAACCTATCAGAAAAAATGTATTGCCCTGGCCATCATGATGCGCTTATCTGTTGATGCAAAACGGTAAAGATTCAACTACGTTTTATCGACAAATTTAAGATCTTTAAACTATGTTTCTTTTGCAGTTATGCTATCAGCTATTTTCGTGACAAACCGGCACCGTTTCAATGCCCTACTTTGGCCGAAGGCTCTTTGGCCAGCAAACGTTCTAAGCATATAACTGCTATAACCTCCCTTGACATCGTAAAATGCTGTTATCATCTATTGTGCGCCAATCCAGTATTTTTCAAAGATTTGTGGAATTGGTCCGTATTTCTCGAGCAATATGTTGATTGTGGAAAAGAAGATGACTTACATCAACTCTATTGCAACCACATTATTGCTGTAATTACAAATATGACGGCCGCGCAATTGCAAAATATTAGTGCCCAATTGCCGCCTGCGGTGTTGTTGGAATTTGATGAAGAGCAAAATATACGTCCTCCATACAAAAACATTTTCTCTGAAGACTTTGAAAAAGATAAAATAATTACTTTGAAGATAAATTCAAACCTGATCACCGATATTGAAGGTGTGCTGTTGCCTATTTTTAATAAGAATAACTATCAGTTTTATGCGAATAACGACGGATTATACGATACAATAGTTAAAGTCGATTCTACAAAAGTAAATTTGCGTAGCATTGCTTTGGGCATAGCTTCGGCAAAAGCAATATGCCTTTCAGGACCAGTTGGCTGCGGTAAAACTACATTGGTGGAATTTTTGGCGCGTAAGACAGGCCGTATTCAACCCAAGCCTAGTGAAATAGAGCAAAAAAGCCAAGAAAATCACGTTTTAAATGGCAAAGATGTTGTAAATGGAAACGATAAATTATCAACTGGAAGCAAAAGAAAACATGGCCCGGATATTTTTAATAAATTTGGTGAAACTATAGATTCAGATGGTGTCAGCTGTAATGGTTTCTTGCGCATTCAACTAGGCGATCAAACTGATAGCAAAATGCTTTTGGGGCAATATCGCTGTACGGATGTTCCTGGCGAATTCATTTGGCTGCCAGGTGTGCTGACGCAGGTCAGTAGCCTTAGAGCTTTGATTTCTATTTTTCCTATATTAAAAATGTATCTAAAACCTTGGTTTGCGGCTATTTTAGGCTGTCATGAATGGCTATTGGCTTCTTTTGGAAGATTTGGATTCGGCCACACAAGATACCTATACAATCTTGAGTAGCTTGCTGGAAAACAACTACTTGAGTGTGCCAGGATTTCGCGATTGTGTAAAAATTGAGCCTGGTTTCCAATTATTTGTAACTGTACGGTAAGCAATTTTTTAAAAACTTGTACATATATAGTTTTCACCGCTAATGATTCCATTTATTTTAGCACCAACAAATCGTCAACGGGCACCGCCCAGAAATCACTATATACACTGCTTGAAAAATACTTATATACAGTTAATATTTTGCCACTTTCGCGCAATGAGCTCTGCAAAGTGGTTAGCACGAATTACCCTAAATTAGCCACGGTTGCTAATCGTATAGTGGATGTATTTCTTACATTCTCCAGCGGAGATCACACTGCGGCTGATAATTTGCGTCAACAAGAGTTTGCTGACAAGGCCGATACCACTGAAAAATATATCGCATTGCCATTCGAAAAGATTTCACTCTCATCGATCCCGAACTCCGGCCGATTAGTTTCTACACGGGATCTTATAAAACTTTGCCAGCGTTCCAATCCAGCTTTTAGCGTAACTAGCTCCGAATGCGCATACTTTGTCTTTCAAAATGCTGTTGATGTTTTCTGCTCGTATCTACCGCAAGGCAAAGATAAAACCAAACTCATTATAAGCATCGGTGCGAAATTAGGAATCATTCAATCGCGTTGCGAATACTTCGCAAACGAGTATAAACCTGACGTGTTAGTTAACAAAAACGGCATAAAAGTTGGTCGCACCGAATTATTTGCTAAATCACTGGTAGATGAATTCAGCATTGAATTAGATAATGTGGAAGAGGATGCTGAGAGCGAAGGACCACAGGCTGTTAAGCGACCAAAACTAAACGATAATCTTAATAGGCTTGATAGTGAAATTGCAGCGTTAAAACGCGCGCTGAATGTTTCAACGCATGCAACTTTTTCTTTTACGAGAATGGCATCTTGTATTCTAGAGCGCATAGCCGTGTGCGTGTCGCACGCTGAACCAGTGCTGCTTGTTGGTGAAACTGGGGTCGGCAAAACCTCATCGGTACAGTATTTGGCCGACAGAACATGCCACAAAATGGTTGTTGTCAATATGAACAATCAGTCAGACGTTTCAGATCTCATTGGTGGATTTAAACCAGTCGATTTGACATATGTACTGATCCCACTGCGGCTAGAGTTCGACACACTCTTCCACGGCACCTTTAATGCTGCGAAAAATCAGACATTCCTGCACAAAATGGAAATTTGCTATAATCAAGGCAACTTCGCGGTTATTGTTAAACTGATGGTTAGTGTGATCAACTCAGTTTTCAGCAAGGCAGAACGAAATGAGTTGAAGGAAAAGGAAATGGCCTTATTACCACGTTGGCAGGCGCTAAAAGTTAGCGTGCTCAAGTTGAACACCCAATTGAGCAAGTCAATCAACATTTCATTTGCTTTCATACCCGGTTCCTTAGTAAACTGCATTAAAAACGGCGACTGGATATTGTTGGACGAAATTAATTTGGCTTCAGCGGAGATGCTCGAATGCTTGTCGACAATTTTGGAGCCCGATGGATCGGTGGTGTTACTTGAAAGAGGCGATTTTACACCGGTTAAGCGCCACCCCGACTTTCGTATATTCGCTTGTATGAATCCCAATACAGATATAGGTAAGAAGGATCTGCCGGTTGGCATACGCAATCGCTTCACAGAATTCTTCGTTGATGAGCTAACCACTGACAATGATCTAACGGTGCTTATAAGTGATTACCTGAAAACCACGGGCATACAGCGGAAGAGTGTCACAAACTTGGTGCAATTGTACAAAAAGCTTAAGCTATTGTCCAAGTTAGAACTGAATGATGGTCTCGGCAATCGTCCGGTATTTTCATTGCGTACTTTGTGTCGTTCGCTGCGCGTCTGTGCCAAGAATTTGTGCGGTTCAGTGGAACGCAATCTCTACGAGAGCTTTTGCATGAGCTTCCTTACGCAACTAGATCCTGCTTCACACAACGTGGTCTTACATCTCATACAGCAAGCGCTTTTAAGCAACGTCAAAGCTGTGCTTAACCAAAGCATACCCAAACCAGGTGAAAATTACTTAAATTTCGAAGGCTACTGGATACAACAAGGCCCCAAAGAACCCGAGGAGTATGCCAGTTACATTTTGACTAAAAGCGTAAAAGAAAACCTACGTGACTTGGCGCGCATCATCTCGATTGGCAAGCTGCCGGTGTTGTTGCAGGGTCCCACAAGCGCTGGCAAGACAAGTTTGATTGACTATGTAGCGCGATGCAGCGGCAACCATTGCCTACGCATTAACAACCACGAACACACGGACCTGCAAGAATATATTGGCACTTATGTAGCCGATTTAACTGGTAAGTTGAGCTTTAAGGAAGGCGTCTTGGTGCAGGCTATGCGCAACGGTTACTGGATTATATTGGACGAGTTGAACTTGGCATCCACCGACATCTTGGAGGCTTTGAATCGCGTCCTCGACGACAATCGTGAACTCTTCATACCTGAAACGCAGACCCTGGTAAAGGCGCATCCAAATTTCATGCTATTTGCCACCCAAAATCCGCCTGGTTTGTATGGTGGCCGAAAAACACTGTCGCGCGCATTCAAGAATCGCTTCATCGAATTGCATTTCTCAGAAATACCACGCGACGAGCTGGAAATTATTTTGGAAAAACGTTGCCTAATACCAACAACATATGCCAAAAAGATGGTGATGTGCATGTCCGACCTGCAGAAGAATCGTAAGACCACCACTAAAAATGTATTCACCTTGCGCGATCTATTCCGCTGGGGTAATCGTTACACTTACGCGGACAAGCGACTGCTAGAGGACTCAAAGTACGATTGGAATCAACACCTTATCGAAGAAGGATACTTGGTTTTGTCCGCAAAAGTACGTACAGACATTGAAATCGAAATTATCGAGGAGACCTTGTACAAGAACTTTCGGAAACGCGTTGATCTATCGACACTTTTCAATGCCCAGGCTAGCGAGGAAGCGTGCTCGGCGGTGACGCGCAACATTATTGCTGCCATCAAAACGTACAAGCTGCGCGCCGACATTGTTTGGACACGCAATATGACGCGCATGGCTGTGCTGACCGCCAAAGCTTTGGAGTTTAATGAACCCGTTTTGCTTGTCGGTCCCACTGGCTGCGGAAAGACTACTGTTTGCCAGCTGCTAGCCAGCATACGTGGCGTGCAACTGCGCATACTCAATTGTCATATGCACACAGAAGGCGCAGATTTCTTAGGCGGCTTAAGGCCCTGTCGCGATGCGAGCGCTGATGAAAACACTGCAAAAAAATTATTCGAGTGGGCTGATGGACCGCTTATACTTGCTATGCAGGAAGGCTCCTACTTCATGGCTGATGAAATCTCTTTGGCTGAGGACTCAGTGCTAGAGCGGCTGAATTGTATTTTAGAACCGGAGCGCACTGTGTTGTTAGCAGAGAAGGGAGGCGTCAGTGACGCCGACAACGCAGCGGATATCGCCAAGGATTTTGTTGTGCAAGCGAAGGAAGGCTTCCAGTTTCTGGCCACTATGAACCCAGGTGGTGATTTCGGTAAGAAGGAGCTTTCGCCAGCGCTGCGCAACCGTTTTACTGAAATCTGGTGTCTTCCATCTGATACGAAAGAAGATTTAGTACAAATTGCCAGCAACTGTATGCTGGAAAACTTGCAAGCATCAGCAAGTGCAAGCAGAGAAGACATAACGAAAATCGCCAGTTATCTCGTGGAAGTGGTGCTGCACATGCGCGATCTGGTGGAGAAGTTCAAATATTCTATACGTGATATACTGGCGTGGGCCAACTACATTGTCAGCAATGCAAACTTGACATTTCCGGAGCGCGCCATATTCGGTTTAGAGACAATATTCTTGGATGCCTTGGAAATGTTGCCCCATGAGACTTTGGAAAAGGTTGAGTTGCTTAAGAAGCAGATAATCAAATTTGCCATCGAAAAAGCTGCTAGTATTCTGAGCGAAAAGTTCACCTTCGCGGATTTGGAAGAAAAGCGTGGCAAGGATGTGATACACAACGCTGAAAAATTCGGCATCATGCCCTTTTTTATACCAACCAACAGCAATTCCAGCGCTGCCGTAAGCAAAAGTTTCTTATTCGAAGCGCCAACAACTAAACAAAATCTATTTCGTCTGCTGTCCGCGCTCTCACTGCGCAAACCCATACTCCTCGAAGGCCCACCGGGTGTCGGTAAAACATCCACCGTCGAGAGCATTGCCGCTGCTATTGGCTATCGCATCGTGCGCATAAATCTCTGCGAGCACACCGATCTGGCTGATCTCTTTGGCACCGATCTGCCGGCTGAAGATAACATTTTAGACACTGCTGCTGAAAAGGTCACAAGTGAGCAGGCAGGATTTAGCGGCTCTTTTGTGTGGCGTGATGGCCCATTATTGGCCGCACTAAAAGCGGACGACACCTGGATATTGTTGGATGAGCTGAACTTGGCACCACAGTCAGTGCTGGAGGGCCTCAACGCTATACTCGATCATCGTGGCGAGGTTTACATACCTGAATTGAATAAGACATTCACCCTCAGCAAGGAGACGCGCGTTTTTGCCTGTCAGAATCCGCTTAAACAAGGCGGCGGCCGCAAGGGCTTACCGCAATCATTCTTGAATCGTTTTAACAAGGTCTATCTGCGCAAATTGACCACACAGGACTTGCTGTTTGTTGTAAACGGCAAATACGAATCGCATTTCAGAGAAATGTGCGCCCAGTTTGCCAAATTGCTTACCAACTGTAGCATCGAGACAGGTACAAATCTATTTGAATTTTACAAGAAGCCGTCTAGAGAACCGGCAACCGTCGAGTTTACCAACAATGAAGCAAGCGTTGTGCCCGCAATTGTACTAGATGTAGCCAAGCGACTGGTACAGTTCTCCGAAATGCTGGACAACGGCATAGCGGCACTGGAGTTCGGCTATAGGGGTGGACCGTACGAAATAAACTTGCGTGACATCTTACGCTGGTGTGACTTGCTAGTAAATCCCGAAACTGGTTTCATTTTCCAAACCGATAATTGCTCAGCAGCCACAACCCGTTTGGGGTTGTTTCGTAGAAATTTCGAAATCTTTTTGCTCACCCTCTTTGAGCGCATGAAATTGGTTTACTATCAGCGCATGCGCTGTGAAGAAGATAAACGTTTCATACGCAATGCATTCTCCAAGGTATTTGACTGTGATGCGGATCAGTTGAACGCCATCTCCGAAGATGTGTCACTCTATTGGACTGCTGATAAAATTTATTTGAACGATATTGTGCTGGAACGCGATGGGCATGCGCAAGCACTGCGCCCACTTCGAAGCAAGGATCTGTGCCCGATTTTGCTGGCTTCGCAGCGTGAGATGCTGAAGAATGTCGTGGAGTGCATGCGTATGGAGAAGCCGGTGCTGCTCTGCGGGCCAACCGATACGGGCAAGACTAAGCTGATTGACCTTTTGTGCACGCTATCGAATCAAGTTTGCAATACGGACACCATCGATGACTCTGTGACAGGCAGTTTTCAGCAGGTAAGCATCGCTTGAGTTCTAGTTTTTGTATATTTTTTTAGGTAGAGTTGACTAAAAAATACTAGACGTAGTCTTGAAAAATATACTGTATAACGACTTACTCCCAAAACGTACGATTTCATCGGAACCTTCCGCATCGGTTCACAGAGTTATCGAGTTTTTTGGGCACAGCATTAGTAGTTTCTCCATTGTATGAAGTTAGAACTTCAACATAATAGGCTAAATGGCATTAGGCCATTAGCCGTTCTTTGGTGGTCTCGGGAACTCTCATCTCCAAAGAAAGAGGTACGCCACTATTTGAATAAGGCTAAGCGCACGGAGCACTCGGAAAAAAAGTCTGCCATTCTTACTAAATATAGTAAAGATTTGAGGAATGTGCGAGTATTAGAAGCTTCCTGCAGCGTCCAGGCATCACAAATCCTTTGTAGGTGGAACTGGAGAAACTAAAATAGCACTTGAGTTTTCTGCTTCGCTCTCACTTTCCGGATGCCTAAACCCTAGGACTGGACTCTAGGACAACTTAAAAAAAATTAAACAAAAAAGTTTTTTCAAATAGCGGTTACCCCCCGGCAGGCAATGTATTTCTATCGTAAAAGAAAAACCGTTAAGAAAACTGTCATTCTCAGTGAGCGCCACTCGGCACTCAAGGGGGTTCATCTTTCGAACCCATTTCTTCGCTAGTCTTCGAGTGCATTGGGAAACTTAACTTCCTTGCCAACAACAATAGCTACCAACTGTTATGTGTGCCGTGCTGCGGCGGAGGCAACAACCCCAATTGTACTCTTCTCCAGCTTTTTTAGAGGTCTCAGGTTTAGCAGAAGTGTTGCTAGAGCAGTAGACACAGTAGATACTTAGATTGTAGAACACACCTCATATTAATATCGACCTATCCATCTAATAAAAATATTTACTCCTTTCCTTCGTTTTCTAGATCGATCTAAACCGGCACTTAGAAGAAACATCGCAAAGCATTGAATCCGTGCTCGCTGCTCACCTACGTTTCATGCTACTGGAGGAGAAATCTAAAGCTTATAAAAGTGTGGCCGAGCTGCTGCAGATTTGGGGCGATTACTGCAGGGAATCCAATGTGAAACTCGGTTTGTATATTGCAATGAAAATTAAATTATGTGATCTTGAACTCTGTTCTACATCCTTTCCAAATAGCTACTACCAATGCCACATCCATGTCGGACGAGCTGATGAGTTTCCGCAAGCGTATACAACGTTTAGGTGTCGTAATCGACAAACTATTGCAATCCGCAAGCGATCAGTCCGCAACTTCATACTCCAAAGACACTTTAGTCCAACAGCAGAGCAGGCTTAATACGTTGGAAAATCACGTACGCAATGCTGATTCGCTGAATACTGGCGGCTCTTTCGAGTGGGTCGATTCCAAAATTGTTAAATCACTCAAATTCGGACAATACATTCTCTTGGAGCATGTGAACTTGTGCTCTTCAGCCGTTTTGGATCGTCTAAATCCCGTTTTCGAACCTAATGGCAATCTGCTAATATCAGAGAAAGGTGTATCGGCAAATGAGAGCGCGGAAATTGTCGAAAAGGCGCCAAACTTCCGCGCTTTTCTAACCATCGACCCCAAAAATGGCGAACTGTCGCGTGCCATGCGCAACCGTTGTGTGGAGTTGGCAATCGCCAAAGACACCTACAGCGTCGATGACATGCGTCTCATTGTCTACTTGAATGGTGTGCGTGGCATGCGTGCGATTAATTGTATCCTAAATGTACACACGCGCTTTTTGCATTCGACGGAAATTAACAGCTTCAACATCTCACATCTCACACAATTCGCCTTTCTGACTGCATCATATGCGCGCATCGGCTACGATATGGAACGCGCCATCTATGTAAGCGGCATGGAAGTGTATGTGTATGCAGCAAACACTGACCTAATGGGCTTCGGACTGGCTTATTACCAGAATCAATTGCGTGAAATTGTCTTGGATGAATGTCGAAAATTCGGTGCAGGCGCATCACCACAGAATGAAGATGATAATCGTTTGGCCGCTATTTTGCTGCACAGCGATGAGTTAGATGCGCTCTCGTTAATCAAATTACAAGCTGAGCCACTCAGCAGCCTGCTTTGTTTTGGCGAACGCGCGCAATCCGCACTAACAGAAGTCTTTGCCGATTTTGCGAGCGTAGACTTTTCGAGAGTAGACACACAAGAAATTATAAGATATTGCATTTATATGTTGTACGAATCAAGCTCGATTGGCGACGCTGAATTGCGTTATCTCTACATAGACAAGCTGCTGAGTTCGGCGCCATCTCTGCGACAGTTGTCAAAGTCCCTCTTTGCCTGCATTAAACACATTAGCGCGCAATTCGACTCCGCATTGCATCAATTGCCATGGAATAATAAGCTATTTTCGCGCATACGCGCCTATGCTACGCAACCGGCAGATGCAAAAAATCACAAGAGCTTTTGCCTGAGCGCACAACTTGTTGCGCACTTGTTGCTGCAGCCCATGCCAGAGCGTATGGTAAGCAACATCAATGACATGGACGCGTTCACCTACTCACTGACCGTTGCAGCAAATAAAGCGCTAGATCGCTACGACAATGTGCTGCTGCAAAATCTCTCTACTCTCCTTGCGCGCATGCGTGAAGTGCTGAGCGCGACACTGGATTACGCGCACATTGACGTGCACACATTTTCGGCTATAATTACGGCTTATATGTGGCCAAATCGCTTATTGGCCATGTCTCAGCAAAAGTTGGTGGTGAACAAAGTGCTGAATAGGAATCTAATGGATAAGCTAGTGTTGCATTTCAAATGGCTAGAGAAAAATTTGCTTCAGTTACTGACTACAATGCTGCCTAATTATTGCCAATTGAATGCTGAGTTCAACAACAGTCTGCAGAAAATCAATAATTATGTGCTGAGCATAAAACTGCCGCTCAATTTGATGCGCAAAGTCTACAATAAAAATCTAATACATTTCGCGCCTTTCTATCAGGAGGAACAGGTAAGGGTGAACGGCGAGATTTTTTATTATACCTGAGCGCACTTGTGTACAAGGGTATATATTATAACTATGATCACATAACGGCTGTTTATAACAGTTTAAACGAACCTTCATAGAGATTGGTAAATTTTACAATAAAATGTCCGTCTGTCTGTCTGTCTGTCCTTTCGCCCCAATCCAAGCCTTCCAGCAGGGCGTAGCGTTCTTTGTCCATAAGGCAGTTGGTCGACACAAATCCATTCTGTCCAGTTTCATGAGAACGTAATAACAGTTTTCCGCCGCAGCAGAGCCATAAACTCTTACATAGATAGACCTCAGGATTGTATGCCTTTCCAACACCAGTTAGCCACATTTTGGCAACAGCTCTTCTACCTTTGAGATATCCAAGCCAGTATTTCGTTACAATTAATGCTGTCGTGCCCCGGCACCTAGATCAGTGCAGACATGCATACCTGTTAGCGTAGCTCAACGTACTCTCTTCATTATTTCATCATTCATCATTTATCTGGTTCATTATGAACAGAGGCGGGCACTACCACAAACAAGCGTGAGCTAAAAGTTAAAATGCGTTAGTATGCCTAATTCTCCACTTAAAAATAGGATCATCCAAAGATTATTCTTAGATCGTTCCTTTGTGAGCAATGGAATACTCCTTATAAAGCTTGCATGTCCTTACAGGCGAGCACCCTTTTTACTCAAAACGTATCGATAAACGAGGACTCCATACAATATTAGGATAACTAAAAAAAAACCTTAATTGCACGCTTATTGCTCCAAATGGATGAACAAGTCACTACTTCTTTATTGGTCGATTGTTTCATCGGTACACGCTCGCTTGTAAACTTATACGCGATATTTACGCTCTTTAAGGACCTACATAATTATGAGGCTAAATGTATTTTTAGCCTAAACAATAATCGTTAAAATTGGATGTCGAATAGAGTTACCAGTTTGTAGGTCAGTCGAAAAAATCCCGACGAAGCCACAGCAGAGCCTGAGTTGTTGTAGCGGCTTATTTAACCATGCCTAGACCCGATAGTCCTTCAATCGGCGTCAAGCCCAACTAACGGTAGGCACCGGAAACGAGGTTGTTTTTACGGGTCCGGACCAGAGGGAGAGAGGTGTTAGTTGAGTTGCGTTGGGGTGGGTCATGTGAAGTGATGATTGGTATTGTGTGGGGAGCCTTCACATACCGGACATAATTTGAATACGTCGGGGTCTAGTTTGGGCATGTAGGATTTTAACCTACAATAATATCGAGATCACAATTAGGACAGAGTTACGTGGGTCCTGGAAGTTGAAGCTCAGTTTTCTCCACAGGTGGTGATTGGACTCTTATGACGACATTCAATAGTGTCCGTGGTGATAGTCTATCTGTGAATGTCGTTGATTGCCATTCTATACAGTAACGGACGCAGTGGTTTATGTAGTTGTGGTTGGACTTCGTGCATAGAGATCCCTTTGGACGCGTCTAGATGAAGGTTCCGAGCAAGTGTCTGTTCGGGTGCCCACGTCTGTAGCACCCTACGAGGAACTGCTTGCTGAACATGATGTTGTGCTCTCTTACTAGGAGCTTTTGGGCCTCAATATTTAGTGCTTATGGCATGTCTGTAGCTTTATCCACTGCGTCCTACTTGTCCGCGGCGAAAAAACCAGCGGCGAATTGCCTTCTTTATTGCCAACAACGTTTCTTTTAGAGATAGCAGGCCGTCGAAGGTTGCTGGGTGGTTTTTTTTTTGCTGTTGGAGAGGATTAGTTCCTGGCAGTGAAGAAGCGAGACAGTTTGGGTAGGCAACCAATTACCTTTGAGCACAGGTCATCAATTACTTTGACGGCAGCCATTAGCGAGCAATCTATAGCGTACACCAACTACCTGTGACGCCAACTCACACGCCTGTTACTAGATTCACATCTTCCAGCGCCTCTCTTGAAACCATTTGGTAGTATAAAATTATAAAAAAAATTCTAACAACGGTCGCCCCTTGGTAGGAAATGGCAAACCTCCGAGTGTATTTCTGCCTTAAAAACGCTTCTGATAAAAATATTTGCCGTTCGGAGGCGGCGTAAACCTCGTAGATCCCTCTATTCGTGTTATAACATCAAGACGTACACCACAAATTGGAGGAGAAGCTCGGCCGAGCACTAAGCAAAAGTTTAAGCGCCAAAATATTATTATTATTAACTTCCCTTTAGAAGGTCCGCGTATTCCAAGGCGCATGTCCCTAAACGTCAACGCTGGCGCGGATCTTCTTCGGTCTCTTCAGTGATCGTTCTTACTTGAAACCCGGATGCCTTAATATGCCGGTTTTACTCGAACTTATATTTATTTAATTTTTCTTGTTAGCTGAATAATTTCATTCTTCCCTACGCAGATCCAGTTTTACAAGTTGGTGCGGCAGCTGGATCAGCTACTCACTGTAGTGCCATCATACGGTAGTCATGCGCCGGAAATCGTACTAAAGAAATTCTTTGCGCAGAAATCCGATAATGCTAAGCGCGCACGCGCCATTGTCAATACTTATATAGAACAGCGCATCAACACCAATGCCAAGCAAATCCAAATAGAGCAAACACAAAGCGCTAAAGTTCCGGAAACGCTTCATACGGCGTTATTGGAGTTTTCAAATGCTGCTTTGGAAAGTGTTAATTGGTCGCTTGAGCACTTAGTTGCTCTACAAACTGAAGTGGAAGCCTTGCAAAAAGTCGTGAATTCGAGGGAAGACTTGGCTACAGAGTTACAGCCAAAGGAATATGAAATTCGCTTACTATCAGTGCGTGAATTCTACCTAGCGAAGGCGCTAAGCGTTTTGGGCACTAGGAGCGCGCCTGAGGTTGGGCACATAAACGAATTTTACTGCGAGGAAATATGCTCGCTAAGCAGCGACACTTGGCAGCTGGTTAAAGTATACAATTCGAGCGCGTACAAACGCTCCCAGAAAGTATGGACGCAACTTATGAAGCAGCTATCGATTATTGAAACTGTTGACGATTTTGAGCAACTTTTATTGCACTTAAATGGTAGCTACAAATTTTTCAATTCATACCATACCCGCCTGCAGAATGCGGTCAACAATATGCAATTGGGCAATCTAGCCTCGCGCGATAACGCTACAAATGTGCTTAGGCTAACGGTAGATATTGATTGCGCTTACGCGTATGAGGGCTGCGGTTTCCTCAATGTGTTCGGCGCGCTGCTGTTTCAAGAAGATGGTAGCCTGCGCCCAGTGCCCATCAACGAGCTGAACGAATGGCAAGCAACTTTGAAGCAGCTACAACAGCTGCTGTGGCACAACGCCGCGTTGCTCACGCCGCAGTACAATATTTGGCAAAATAATTTGCAGGTCGCGCGAACCAGCGCAACAAAACTGCTACATGAAGTTTCATATGTAAAGAAACTGTGCGATAGTTTGGAAAACGAGAACTTCAGCGAATACAATGAGAGCTTTCAAAAACTTGTGCAGCACTTAACGGATGCGCTTGCTGCAGCGACGAGCGCGCTTAACGCTGATTGCAGTGAGGCGAAGCGCGGCGCACTTTACTACCAGTCTGTGCAATATCAGGCTGCTTTGCTAAGCAGTTTAATTGGTGCCATTGAAGTTTGCTTGCTTACCTTTACGCCGCTGATAGATCCCGTCGAAAAGAACCGCTTGAAGAACCTTTATGTTGTCGAGGATATAAATTGTCTCAATACTATGACGACTGCTTATGAATTTATGCGAATAGTCATGAAATACAAGCACTTCGGCGCTGAAATATATGTCGCGCTAGAAGAGCGCCTGAAGCTTTTGCAAGCGAAGCAACAAAAATTCGCGCAAAAATTGGCATTGCGGCCGGAAAAGTGTCTTTACAGCAAGCTGGTGGACGACATAACGCACTACCTCAATACGAATTGCGCGCCACAGGCGCTGCTTGGGCTTATCCTAAATGCACAAAAAGCGTGTACGCAACTCATGAGCGATTTCCATCCGAGCGCGGCTGCTCAAATTCTAAATACTAGCGCAGAATTGGTGAACAAACTCAACCTGTGGATAACGAATTCACAGCGTTTCCTCAATCACACACTGAAAGCGTACATGGATCACTACCAAGATTTCGTACAGCCGTTGCAGTACTCCATCGACAAGTTGCGCTACGGCTTTGAGGGCCTGAAGGTAGTGCTCACACAAGCGGGTGCCAATATTTTACAGCTGGGCAGCTTAAAGGTATACACGAATTTGAACTCGCATGATAAACTTTCGCTTGCCTTAGCCAATATAGCACAGTTTCCGGCTATGCAGCACTTAATGGAAACCGATGTGAAGTTATCCGCGCGCGACGTGCTCCAGCAACGTTCGTTTATGAACACCGTAATGAAGCAACTGCCACACAGCGATCACAGCTACTTCCGGTTGCTCAAGGCAAAGCTCATCGAATTGCGCAACACCATTACCATTTCAAAGTACATAAATGAGCAGATCTTCGGTGAGCTGGACTACGTTTTCAATGTATCGAACCACATCTGGCAGGCTGAGGAAGAGCGCCGCCGCGCCATGAAGGCTGAGGAGGAAAGCCTCTACGTGAATAAGACCAAATGCGCTGAGGAAGACGAGGAACTCTTGGAGCTGCAAGAAATCGAGTCGCACTTCCCGACCAATGTGGAAGAAGACTTTGGCGAATTTCTGATCGAAGCAACATTGGAAAAGGTGGTGAAACTGGATAAGAAGTCGAATTTGAAGTCGCAATCGACGCAAGTGATACGCGATGAGGACTACACATTTCTCGCCACGCATTTCATTGAGTTAATGGAGCAGTATACGCGCGTTTACTATCACAAGCCCACGAGTGCTGCTAAACACCAGCTGGAGTTCATGGAACCATTTGAAGCGCGCATGCAGGCATTTGTGCCGCTATATGCGCACTACAAGCGTGGCTTAAATGATTGGCTCACTGAAGCGGCGTACAATAGCTGCACTTTTGCGCTGGCATTGCAACAGCAACAGCTTACTAACTCTAATTCTTCGCTGCTTGGAAGAACTGCGCAAGCTTACAATTACTACAAAGACTCCAACATACCAGAAATAATGGGCTGCCTTGACTTGCTGAAGGACATTGAAGCGCATGCCGATGCGCAGCTGGCGTTGTACCCCGAGCATGCCAGCCTGATAGACATCAAGCGTGTGATCGATAGGATACGCACATTGCCAGCTACAGCGCCGGTAGTGCGCTTCAATACCGGCTTTCAGCTGCTGCGACAAAAGCTCGCCCAATGGAACGAGGTGGCACACAAGGGCAATCACATGCGCCAGCAGGAAGTCGCTGTGGCTGAGTACGTGCAGCGTTGGATGAAGCTCGAGCTGCAATGCTGGCGCAACTGCTTGAATCAAACACAGCGGAAGATCGAAGCGAACGCATACAAATACTGGTTTTTCATCTACCAACTGCTGCAGGAGTATTTGCGCGAGCGTGCACTGGATAGCTCTTACACTGATATAAGAACCACAGAGAAGCGTTTTGGCGACGGTGAAGTGCTCGATGAGGCTGAAGTCGAGAAGAAGACAACTGCCAGCGCTGATGACATTGTGCGCATACTACGACAATTCGTAGAAGCAGCTAACTATGGCGATTTTCATGTGCGCTTACAATTTTTGCAAGCATTCGAACTTTATCTACACAATGTTGAACACTTAGCATTGCAGAGCACTCCCGTCGACGATGCGCGCATGCTAATTGCCGGCTTGCGCAATTTACAAATTTACTTCGCGCAATTTGCGCAAGAAATCGGGGAGAGCGCGGCAAGCATGCGCGCGCCCATCGAGAAGAAATTGAAGGAACTGGTGAAGATAGAAAGCTACAATAAGGATCTGTCCTACTTCAGCATGCGCAACAATGTGGCGCGCGTGCATCGCAATCTGAATAAATTTCTAAAAGAATACCAGCAGCAATTGCAGCAGAAGATTACGCCAGTGTTCCAGCCCAAAGATGCCACCGTTAAGGATTACAATTTTGAAAATGATAAAGGACGCGAACTGCGCTATGACACGCGCATCAAGTATTACCTGGTGGAAGTTAAAAATTTTGTCGCGCCACAAAAACTGGCCGAGAAATTCGTTTTAGGCGAAGAAGCGGCTGTGAGTGAACTACCACCACTCGAAGGGAGCGAACAAAGTCTACTCAATAAGGTTAGTCGGCTTTTCAAAACCACGCGTAACGTAGTAAAGGAAACAGTTGGCAATGCCAGCTTTTCCAAGCTAATCATTGCTTTGGACAGCGTGCTTTGCGAACAGCTGGAGCGTTGCGATGAGCTGCGCGCGCTCAGCGTGGACCGCAGCAAGGAGCGACCAAAGCAAGTTTTGGAAGCTAAGCAAATTTTACAGCAAAAACGCAAAGGACTGACCGATCTATTCAAGACGCTTACACAACTTGGATTGAGCTACAAGGCTGGACTGATGGAGTTGTCATTGCGTACCGATTTCGACGAGTTTACGCTGCCGCCGTTCTGCATTAAGACCATGCTTGGCGCGCGCAACGATAAGCGCCTGCACACAAACGTGCAGCACCTGAACGAAAACGTGGATCGATACTACGCGAAATGCCAATTCAAATTAAGATTGTTGCAGAATATTATGTTGGCGCCGCTGTCCGAGTTGGGTCCGCCCAATATAGAGCGAATAAAGGGCTTTGCAGTGGACATGTTCCTTCTGGTGCAGAACCAGAGGCGTCTGCTCGCACATACTAGCAAGCAAATTTACGATTTGGACATACTAATGCAGGATATTAAAGAGATCTTTGAAGTGTGCTCTATCTCGGCGAAAACCGTGGAAAGCTTGGCTTTCAGAGAAGCGCGCGACTCGTATCTGGCCTTGCGTGAGTCCATCTCTCGCATGCGTTATGTGATGGAGCAATTTAGCCTACTGCTGACGTGCGCGCCATCTGGCGATAGCGAAGCAAATACTGTGCTGACGCATAGTGAAAACCGCCTATTGCAAAACTCTGCCTACTTCAATGCAATCAACGACAACTGTGATGATGTCATCAAAACAGCAAAGGCCACCCTCGCAAATATGCTGAGTCACGACAAAGAATTCTTGAGTGTCACTAAGGTGGCAGAGTACAGAGCAACACACGATAAACTGCGTCAGACGCTGCAGCAAATTGTCAGCAGTTTGAGAAGTGGCGCCGGCGAACCACTGCCAATTGCCAAACCCATTGTAGAATTGCTCGATTTCGTTGAGTCGTGCAGCAAACGTATATCCTCGCCAAATGAATTAACGCCCTCAATCGAATTGGATAATTTAGATGCCGTCCTCGAAAGTATTTTGCACGCTGTGCTAATGGCTTTGCAGAAGCTTTACAAAAAGTACACAGAGGCGACCACTACGCCCACAGAGGAATCGCTCTCGCCAAGCAAGGCGCGAAATGAGCTGGAGTTGCAGGAGAAGCATTTGAAGGAGCAGGTGCACGCGGCGCTGGAGTCCGATTGGCAAACGCTGAATATTGTTAGTATTGTCGAGCAGCTGTCTAACGTGCTGCTCGCTCTCAAGCACGCCACACCATCCCAGTCGCAATTGGGTTGCGCGCGCAAACTCACCACGCTCATACCAATATTGGAGCAATACTATTTGTTGGCAGAATACTATCTCTTCCAGCAGCTGGGCGCGCACAAAGTATCGGCGAAAATGCTCTCCGTCATGTTAACGGTGTTTGTGGAGATCGGCAGCAAAGGATTTTGTGTGCCACCCGACCTAATGCAAGATGAAGAGGGTCAAGGGAAAGAGCAGAAAGAAGGTGAAGGTTTCGGTCTGGAAGACGGCACAGGTGAAAATGATGCCTCAGACAGAATTGAGTCTGAGGACCAGCTGGACGATGCGAAACGGCCTGAAGATCGAAAAGCGGAGGAGGGCAAACAGCCAGAAGATTGCAAGCAGGACAAAGGCATTGAGATGAGTGAGGACTTTGATGCAAATATGCAGGATATAGAAAAGCCAGAAGAGGATGATAGTGGTGAGTCGGAAGATGATGACGAATTGGACAAGCAAATGGGTGAGACGGGGGAGGAGGCAGATAAGCTGGACGACCAGATATGGGGCGACGACGAAGAGAAGAACGAGGAAGAGGAAGAAGAGAATGAACAAGAAGAGGATCAAGGAAAGGGCACTAAGGACGAGAAGGACACGCACAACGACTTGGATACGAAGAATGATGCCGCCAATGAAAACGATCAGGAAAACGAAGGACTCGATGCGGCAGATGAGCCAACGAATGAAAAGCGGAAACAACAAGAGAAAGATATTGACAATATGAAGGAGCCTGAAGTGGACGAAGACCAAGCCAACCCCCACCACAATGAACTGGAGGAGCCACCTGAACCGGAGGAAATGGATTTGGGCGATATGAATGCGGATGATGAGAAAGAAGATGGCAACGACGAGCGCGAGGGTGAGGATAATCCTTTTGACATTGATAAAATGAAGGAGAATATGCAGGTGTTAGACGAACAAAGTAAAGAAGATGAAGAAGAGTCAAAAGAGGAGGCGAATGAAAACGAACCGAATGTAGACGACAGTGACTCAGAGGATGGCGATGGCGACACCGAATTGCGCAAGGACGAGAACAAAGAAGAAGAAGAAAAGCTGGACGATGAAGACGGTAAAGAAGAACAAGAAGAAGGCGAAGCCGAAACGCAGACACGGGCCGAACAAGAACCTGAAGCACCGCCGGTGGATAAGGAGGACGAAGAACAAGAGCATGCCGAGAAGCCGGAAGAGTACGAGCAATCCAAGGACAAAATGAGTAAAGAAGAAAATGTGCAATCCGTGCCGGAAACGGAAAACAAAGGCACCCCAGATCAAGTACAAAGTGAGAATAATGAGGACGTGAAGCAGGATCAGAAATTAGACGAGCAAGAAACCGGCGAAGAGAAGGATGGAGTTGGACAGGCAGAAAATGACGTACGTTTTTTGGGGAAGCTGTTGATAGGCATACCTCATGAAAACTTTATTTTTCTCTTATAGACCAACGACGGTGGGCACCAAGGCATTGCTGAGACCAAGGAGAAAGTGGCACAGGACGACAGCGTTAAAGAGCAAAAGACGCAAGAGAAGCGTAAACAAGGCAAAACTAATGAGGAACGCACATTGGGTAAGTTAGAATGTTGTTGTTGTAGCTGTACGTAGCAACCCCCTAATTGGCATTTAGAGGTGTCCCATTCGACCACTACAGTAGAATATACTAAAAGTGAGGTTTCTCCCTCGGTTTGCTCCAAAGCGCCTCTGGTTTTGGATGGGTGCTGTATATTGATAATAGACAGTCGTCAGTGATCTCCTAATCTATCTTGGCTCTGCACGAGTTGATCCGGCCGTGTTTTTTGTTGTTGTAAGAGCATACACAATTTTGGGGAGTGATGATGTAGTGACAGTTCCCGATCATATATAAATCTGGGTTGTTCTAGTCTATCGTGGGATAGTTCGGTAGATGAGCTTGTGTTGCTCTGGTCTAGCGGGGTAATCTAATTTCGTCGGCGGAGCTGCGAATACTATGTTGCAGCTGCAACCCGATTCATCGACGCATAGATGTGCTTAGCAATGTCTCCTTCAGGTAGCTTAGGTGTCTTACCTGCCGCGGGGGTGTTGCTCTTCCTGTCTGAATGTGGTGTTGGCTTTGCGAGAGCCACCTGTTTACACAGAAGAATAATTTTTTTCCTTGCCGGAAGTAGCTCGGCTTCATTGTGATGTTATGAGTAGGCATCCAGAGGAGTTGCGCAGAACAAAACTTTTTCGCTTCTCCGGGTGTTGACGCCAAGCGATTGGAGGACCTAGTTTCTGCTGCGGATTTTTTCGCCCATTCTCATAGTGTGAGCCTAGAAGGACAGGACGTTCAGATTCATAGGGTCAAAATTCTTGCTCTATCGATCTCTACGTTCAGGCCGATGCTCACTTCCTTCGTCCATAGTGCCCACGGAATTGGTTGCCGATAGTTTTAGATAACGTTCCGTGCGGAAGCGTATAAGAGTTAGCTGTTTATCTGTGTTCCGAGCTCATCAATATTATGTCCGATGGCCATAATAGAGCAGTTATCGGCATATGAGACACATGACACCGCCTGGGTCGCTTGTGGAAGTTTGGCGAAGTAAGTGATATTTGGCGATCCATCGTTTTGTGTGACCTGGTACTGATGACTATGCGATATCCTCAACCATCATGCCGTGGTTCACCGTATTAAAGGCAGGTTTGACAGATCCAGCGCCACAGGTACATTGCGGGCTCGGGGTCTTTTCTGGATGAGTCCATCTGATTTCTGCGGGGCAATTGCGAAATCCATGCGGATGTGAGACTAGGCTCAAGTGTCCGGTAATTGAGGGAAAGAGTAGTGCCTCGAGTAGCTTAGGACTCACTTTATCTCTCTTTCGCACTTCTGGAATGAACTGTGCGTCTATGGGTAGGTTGAAAATTGCGATGAGATACTCAGTTCCGTTGTAGTTGCTGAAGCAGGACGGTTTGGCTTTAAACTGTCTGTACCTCCAGATGTGTGAATGTTATCGATGGTTAACTAGGACGGATCCTATGAGCTTTTCGGAGCATGCTGCGTCTGACCTGTCCTTTTTAAGGTGCTCAATGAAACGTCGACGGAACGCTCACGTGAGCTTAGTGAGGTCCAGGTGTGTTTTGTCGCCGAAACTATGGCCGCTCGGTGTTGCCAAGCACTTGACATTCACCCTTAAATTTAAGGCTCCGTATTTCGTAAATCGTTGGTGTCCGAATTGAGTTCCTTTAAAAAATAAGATCGTCGTGATTGGTACATTCGGTCCGGTCACACTTGTCTGTGAGTTCGGCCAGTTCAGTAGGCAATACCTGGAAAATTTTTTGTATGCGATCCACCGGAATAAAGCGGGCGGTCTTCAGTAGCGTAATTAGGATGTGGATAAGAGGATGGAACCCCATGAAAATTAAAAATGAGTAACAAATTCCATTTGAATCGATCTCAAGAGTAACGCTTCTGTTAAAATGAAACTTAAATACACCGAAAAATGTTGCCTTCTCAGTGCCTTCTACGCCCAAATACTAAGGATGGCGCAATGAAAAGGCAACATTTTTTTATAGAAAAGAAAACGCCATTATTAACTAACTTAAATAAAACTTAGATCTTACCAAAAACACTATTTTTCTAAGGCGAAGCGGAGCAGAACAAAATAAAACAGCTGAAAACAATAGATAAAATGAAAGAGCAGCAACAAAAAGAAGATGAAGAGATCGAAGACGACCACGAAGCAGATGCCGAAGAGTTCCAGCACGTAAAAGATCCTAAGAACAGCGATAAAACGACGCTTGACAATGCCACGGAAGAGCAGTCAAAGCAGATTAAGCATCAAGAGGATGAAGAGAAGCCAGATGCTGAGAACGAGGATGCAGAGAACAATGAGGGCCTACAGGAAGAGGACGAAGAGGAAACAGTTAAGTCACCCGAAGAGGAACAGGATCCCGAAGAGATGAGCGCCGAGAAGTTTGACAAAAAATCAGATAAGCCTTCGAAGACTGAACGTATTAAGGATCGCACTGAGGCGCCTGAAGAAATGGAAGTTGAAGGTGAAGTTGTGCAAACCATGACGGTGACGCGTAGTGATGATACTTCGGCACATTGCAAGTATGTATTTTAAATATAGCCGCTTTTGCCATAATTACATTAATACTAAATACTTGGTGGCATATTTCAGCAAAGAGATACTCTTGGAGAACCTAACGCGAAGTGAAGAATTAAGCACAGCTGAACTGCTGGAAATGCGCAGGGCGTATCAACAGCAATTAACAGCCAATAAGACCGTAAGTTTTCCATTTATTTTACGCGCATACCCGCTTACTATTAAAACCTATTAACCAAATTCCTTTTAGTCTCTTCCAATGCACGAGGATTACGAAACGTGGCAAACTATATCGAATCGCATGGCGCAAAATGCACGCGAACTGTGCGAACAATTGCGTCTCATTTTGGAACCCACCAAGTGTACACGTCTAAAAGGCGATTATCGCACCGGCCGTCGCATCAATATGAAAAAGATAATACCCTATATAGCATCACAGTTTCGCAAAGATAAAATATGGTTGCGTCGGACGAAAGCAGCACAACGTGACTATAAAATCACAATAGCCATCGACGATTCCAAATCGATGCATCATAACAATTCGAAAACACTAACACTCGAGGCAATCTCGTTAGTTTCGCAAGCGCTAACGTTGCTTGAAAGCGGTCGTTTGAGTATTGTGTCATTCGGTGAATCACCACAAATTATACTCAATCACACAGAACAATTCGATGGACCCAAATTGGTGAATGCACTTAATTTTGCACAGGATAAGACAAAAATCGCTGAACTACTCGATTTTGTGCGTACGGCAAACATGGAAGAGGGTGCACTGGGCACGGACAATGGTCTATTCGAAAATTTATTGCTGGTACTGAGTGATGGTCGCAATATATTCAGCGAGGGGCGTGTTAAGGTAGGTTGTGAGAAAACTTTTTTGGTAAATGTAGAATCAAACATTTATTTCCATTTAGGTGCGAAACGCAATCAAGTTGGCGCGCATGCAACGCATATTCTTAGTGTATATAATAATTGATAATCCAGATAATAAGGTTGGTGTTGTGCGACTGTTTTTTTAGCTTTCGGAAAAAAGCAAACATTATTTTACTTTTTTTATTTCAGGACTCAATACTGGACATACAAACCATGGAGATGCTACCTGACAAACGCATTACTATTAAATCTTATTTGGAAGATTTCCCATTCCCATATTATGTGATTGTACGCGATTTGAATCAACTACCTTTGGTGCTGAGTGAGGCAATGCGTCAATGGTTCGAATTGGTGAACAGTGAAATGTGAAGCAGCTGCGCCACCGGCCAGATATTTAATAAGTTTTATGAAAGCAAGTTATTTGCATAGCAAAAATAATCGTTTGAATTATATGTATATCATTGTTTGGTTTTTTTTTGAAAGCGAAAGAACTGTTGCATTTATGTTAGAATGTTTGAATTGTATCAAATATAAATTTATTTAAGATTTCAAGTGAATCTGTGACGTTAAACATGCTTTGCAATTTACATACATATGTTGCACATTATTTTTTGCTTGTTCATGAACAATTAATTAGGAATCATAATACATTTTTTCTTATTAAATTAACTAAACCATAAATTTTTGCACAAGAATTTTGATATAAATTGGAAATTTATATCAACTCGATTTGCAAATCAAATAGACTCTCTGCTTGATTTAGACTTTGTCTAAACAACTGAGCATGCTGCCAAGCGACATCACCTTTGCCACCCGACAAAACAGCCTTGATTTGAAATACTGAAGCGCCAACAATGTTTGCATTACCATTGTCAGCAATCACATTCACCTCAATTTGACCTTCGCCAAAAGTTTTGCGTTCGAAACGCAATTTGTATGACTTAATTCTCAAACCAGATTTACTGAAGTCGAATTTCCAAACGATTTCACCTTGCTCAGCACCTTCTGAAATGAAATAAAAAAAATTAAATTGGAGTAAATGGAGACACAAATTTCTACAAGTCCTAACCTTCTCGTGCTAAGTAAGCCATTTTCCAATCACGCTCGACCTTGCGGAAAATGTTTCTGGATGAAAATTGTGCGCTTTGCCAAGTCTTGTACGTCTGCAGAATTTTTAATTCCGAGGTACCAGCTAAGATGCAAGAGATACAATTAGTCGGGCATTCCATAGAAAATATAAATATTATGCTCACCTTTAAGATAACGCTCGTAGATATCTTTGGCACAGCTGTAACGCATATTAAATTTCTTAGCGCTAATTTCGTCGTCGTTGAGAGTGAAAACAAAGATCTACATTTGAAAGAATCAAAGTAAGAATTAAAACCAAATTCGCATGAGGTATTCGTCATCAAATGAAAGAATTATTCTCATAATTCGTAAAGAAAACAGTTGTATTAAATTAGCCATTTCCGATTCGCCATTTCTCTGCTCGTTTAGGGTCCAAAATTTGTTAGACAGCAGAGCGTAGGGCTCGTTTAAATCAATGCTTCGGATTAAATGCAGATGTTCGATTCTCAGCTTACTATGAGGTTGGCGAATCAAAAGCGTCTATTGTGTTTTATACAACATAATTTGTTCACTCGAAATTTGTCAAAAGAACTGATTTGTAAGATTTCTTACATTGTTGAACGTGTGTTCACCTCGTGATTGGCGCCAAGCCAAGCTACCTGAGCTACGCCCTCTAAGTTCACTCTCTGTTGGTTGTCTGTAATTTAACCAAAATTAAGTGTTTCAACGTTAACTGTAATAAAATAAAAGCTCACCGCTCCACCGTAAGTTCGAATAGCTCAGACAATGTACGTAGGCTCAGCGCCTTTTTGCGTTCGACACTAAAGCCTAACTGCCGTTTTTTGCGTATACCTAAAATTGCTGCAATCAAATCGGTCTCGCTGCAAAGTCGTCTAGCCTGCAACGTTTCTTTATGATTGTTCACATAACGCCACGTTACATCCTGTATATCGTCACAAGAGTAAGCTATCACGTAGTCTATTGGCCGCTTCCAACCATGCTGATACATAAGCGGCGAGTCCACTACATTGTCGGAGGGATCAACATGTAACCAACGCATTTGACTTTCTGAATAAACCTGTAAAAATTAGTCGATAGTTTAGTCAGTCAAATGTGATCATTTGAACTGTTTGCTCTCCCACCTCAGTCCATACATGATCGAAACGCGACAAAACAAGCCGTGCATCGTAATCCAAACAACGACACAGGAACGTAAAGCAATTCGCATACTCTCCACATCGTCCTTTCCGCGATACCAACAGCTGCGCCACATCATTGTAACGATAAAATTTTGTCTCCTGGCCGCAACAAAAGCTAACCTCGACGCGTAGATCGCCTTCGGTTTGCGTTCGTCGTAACTTGCTTTCTTCGCTACCACAGACGCGACAAGGCGTATTGTTGACCCATTCAAAGAATTCTGTGTTGAACCAGTTGCACAGTTCGACCACAATTAGATCCCTTATGCATGGTTCCTTCTCGTTACATTTTCCGGCGTTGATCTGTGTTTGAATAGCGAGCAGTTTTTCACTAGCTTTATGTGTTAAGTCATCTATGGGAATGAGTGCACGTCCAGCGGATACTAGCTTTTCATCTTCATACTGCATGACAGAATCTGATTGCAACTCCAAAGCTTGCAGGAAAGCATTATTTAAACGCTAAAGTTATATTATTATACGCGCCAAGAAAAGAGAAAAATTACTAGTCGATAGAGATATAAAAATTTAGATACGGCACTAACCAGTATACGCGGAAACTGAATGCGTTGCTTATATGGAACGGACACTGTGATAGGTGCAGGCAATGGCTCCGTTTGGGGCACTTGCTCTTTGCTTTTATTTGAAAATGCAGCCATTTCATGTCCATTCACTTTTGTGGTTTCCTCTACTAATTTACCTGAAAATAGAATATTGTGTAATATTATAAGTTGTAGGTGGATTTTGTAATTGATTTTACCTCTAGCTGTCGGAGTTGTATTTTTAAGCCACGCTTCACGTCGTTCGCGCAAAACGTCTCTATATTGTTGAATCCGCTGCAGAGGCACCTCCTGTGGCAGCGTATATTCTGTGTCGTTGTTTTTAAAACCTATAGCACTTAGCAACTGCGCAATGCCTGCCACTGAGAGTAATTTCTCCTTAATTGTTTTATTCTCAAGACGTATGCTGCGGTATTTAGCATTAGCTGGCTCGCTAAGTACATTTTCCAAGAGCACGATTAAAATGCGAGTCGCTTCGAGATAAGCATCTTTGGAATTTTTTAATGATTGTGACAGTTGCATTTGCGAAGATGACGCAGCGGCACCAGTTGAATGGGTAATGGTTGAGGTAAGTGAGGTTGCAGTAGCGGTGGAGGTAGATGCTGTGACGGCGGCGGGTGGGATGTCTATTGCGTTGGGCTCAATAGAGCGTATACAGTCGAAATTCACTTCAGACATATTTCGTTTTGCTTCGCGGACGACGACCGCGCGTAATATGATGGAAAGAAGCGTGAAGGCAGACAGCAAGCGATGTAGAGTGAGTCAGTCAGAGGGCGCTCCACAAATTTGTTGTCCTCCGTATTTGTTTTTACACTAAACAAAAGTTCGCACAAGCACTCTATTTTTGTGGAGAATTCGATGAACGAAAATGTATTTACGTATATAATATATATATTTGTGTAATATATATATTTTTTTAGTAGCCACGAGTCAAGAAAAACGCTTTGTTACGTGCTTAGATTTAGATCGCGGGCCAGACGTGAAAGCAAATGTACAAAAATCAACACACACAAAAATTTAAATGACAGTAGAACAAAAACAAAGATGAATCAGCTGTTTTTTATTTTGCTCGTGATTGTTAACTAATTTATGTCATTCCACAAATTTTCGTTATTTTTTTT